GGACCTGGGCAAGACCGTGCCCACCGCCGAGTCCATCGCCGAGGGTCTGTTCCCGGATGACAAGTGCAAGGAGCTCGAAGCCAACGGCTTCAAGTGCATGGGCTTCAAGCCCGCCATCCGCTACTCGCTGCCGGCGACTTCGTTCAAGGTCGGCTCGGCGGAGCTGCCGCCGCTGCTCAAGCGCCAGCTCGACGTCTTCGCGGAGGTCCTCAAGACGAAGAAGAACACCGACCGCCAGGTGCGCGTCATCGGCCATGCCGATGCGTCCGGCACGCCGGCGGCCAACCAGGTGCTGTCGGTCAAGCGCGCCGAGTCGGTGCGCAACTACCTCGTCGCCAAGGGCGCCGACCCGGCCCTGCTGGTCATCGAGGGCGTCGGCTCCAAGGACCTCAAGAATCCGGCCCGCCCGACGGCGGACGAGAACCGGCGCGTCGAGATCGGCCGCAAGCCCTGACGGCTCCATCCCTTCAACCTCATCCAGGAGAGACCATGGGCAAGTCCATGCACAAGGACGACGTCATCTTTGGCGGCGACAAGACCTACAAGCTGAACGGCTTCAACAGCTGGTCGGAGGCCAAGAAGGCGGTGGCCGAGCAGATCGGTCCGAAGCAGACGCCGATGTGGTCGCAGGCCGAATCGGCACTGAAGGGCTGGCAGAAGGAAGACGCCATGGCCGATGCGTACGTCAAGATCGGCGTGGTCGACGGCGTTCTGCTGCTGCGGGCCAAGTCCAAGCGCTTCCTCGGTGACGAGGAGCGCGACGCCGTGCTGCTCAAGGGCTACAAGATCGCTGCCGCGGCCTGGGCCAAGGAGCAGGACCAGGGCACGAGCCAGCACCTGAGCGGTCGCGAGATCATTGCGCGGGAGCTCAAGGACGTGAAGAAGCGCGAGGACGCCTACAAGGTCCTCAAGTCGCTCGGCGCGAACGACACCCACCTGGCGCTGCTCGTGGACGATGCCGCGGTGACCAAGCTGCTCAAAGCGGTGCGGGTGCCGGAGGACGACATCCCCGGCATCGTGCGCAGCAAGGTCCTGATCAACGATCCCCAGGTCGCAGTCAACGCGCTCATCGCCGCGATCGACCGGACGAATGACGGCAAGATGCTGTCCAAGCTCGTTCAGAAGCTTGGGGTGTCTGCCTCGCTGCTCAACGGGCTGGCGCAGGGCGTGTCCAACGAGGTGGTGGCCAAGGAGCTGGTGGCGTTGGGCGTCAAGCCGCGTCGCGCCGAGGAGGTCAGCATGATCCTGCTGGACGCCGAGACGCCCGATGAGAAGGCCAAGCGCAAGCTGCGCGACGCTGCGGGCGTGGACGAGATCATCAAGCGCCTGGTCAAGCTCGGCATCCCGCAGGCCACCGCCCATGACTGGGGTTATGGCAGCGGCTACAGCGAAGAGGTGATCGTGAAGGCGGTGGTCGCCAAGGGCGTGGACCGCTCGGTCGCGACCAAGATCGCGCAGGCCCTGCTGCCCTGACGGCGGCCGCGCGGCCGCCAGCGACGAGACGCCCCGCGGGGCGTCTTCGTCGTTCAGGGTGTGGTTTCCGTCATCTGCCCCGGGCTGACGATCGTGATCACGCCGCCGAAGGCGCAGTTCAGCGTGGACGTGTTGTTCAGCACCGGCATGTTGGCCAGCATGACGGTCGGGGCGCCCGGCGTCCAGGGCGCGGGGCAGACGGGCGAGCAGGGCGCTGGCGTCAGCGTGAACACGCCTTGTGCCGCCGCGGTGGCCGACGCGGTGGCCGACGCCACGGCCGGGTTGCCCATGCTCTTGCACGGACCGAAGGGCTTGATGTTGACGCCCGGCTTGTTGTCCATGATGTTGGCAGCCGGCTGATTGCTCGTCTTCATCTTGTTCAGCGGCTCCACGCCCAGCACGCTCGGATTGGTGCCGAAGTTGCAGGTCAGCTGGGCGCCCTTGCAGACATGTTGTGCCATCGTGGTTCTCCGGAGGTGCGTGCGCGGGTGCGGCTCAGCCTTGCAGCCACAGCGCGAGCGCCGTGTAGTTGTCGTGACCGGGCTCGTCGGCCGCGGCCAGGCGCACGCGCTGGCCCAGGTCGTTGAGCCAGGCCTGGG